AAACAATGTAATTAATGCATGATAAATTTATTTTTGAATTATTTTTTTTGCTTATTGCTTCCAGCATGTCTCAATTGCTCAGGCTCATCTTCAGGAAGTTGATGCTAGATGCCCCACGTTGTCTTCTTGTAGGAAGGTTCCTGTTCAAGTGAACATATTGTATTTCGTGCCTTCATGTTTTATTGGTAGAAAAAATATCGGTTTTGCGTTTAAGAAGATAATGGTGACTTTATTGGCTCAACGAAATATAAGGGTATGATTTTTTTTTGTCTCGAAAAAGACAAAAGTAATGTTTCAAGGTCTTAAAGAAAGGGAATGTCAAAATTTGGTTTTTTGGTAGTGACATGAATTATTTCGGGTAAAGAATCGAGAGATTTTTTTTTTAGTTTTAGGTGGTAGAAAAAATGGTATAATCTTCTCATATGTCAAAAATCTATAATTCTTGAAGAATTAAAAGAGTATATAATTTATTTGATATTCGAAGAACTACAAGATTAAAACTCGTTTAATTATTCAACCTTATAAGGTAGAATAAATTCAGTCATCAAAAAATTAAACATATTTAAGAAAATATTAAAGACAGAACAAAAACAAGTTCAAACAAAACAATGCTCTTGATGCAAATGGTAAATGCAATGCCCTCATCCTTTTTCGATTGTCCATGCTTCTGAATCCATCAGGTTCTGCATCTTGCTTCTCAGTGCCTTACAGTTCTCATTAAAATTTCCTGAGCTTCCTATGTGATAGATGTATACGATATCAACATCATAAACCTTAGGAAATGAGGACTCTTTGCTTGGATCATTCTGTAAAGCTCAACCCTATGACTAGCTGAATAGGCTTCCCCTGTATTGATTTCAGCTTATTCTTTTAATTATTCGAATCTTTCTTCTATTTTCAATGTGGTCTCACGTGATTAGGATCACTTCCATCGAATCCTCCATGAATTAATCCTCATGTTTTCATGAATGATATGTTTGAAAATGCTTAAAAATGAAATGCATATGCAAAAATATTGATCTCAACGATGAATATGGTAGAACAATTATCACCAGAGATAAAAGCTTTCACATCACAAGATAGTCCACTTTACAGACATGCCTTCATGTTGAGTCTGAAGTGAATCACTACTTCGTCTCGGATCTTTGTCCTTGAAAATGATGCCCTTCAAGTGTTATGTAATCTAATTCTTTTACTACCCCGACTATGCTGAAGTCAGTGCGTTGCTCTTTGATGACTAGAAATGGAACGCTCGTAGATAAGACTCCACTGTTGGATTACTCCTCGAATCAATGGATCATATTTTATTCTCGAATACTACACGATCTCCAAGCGAGTCTCATTCTTGTACTTTGAACTTCTTTTAGCCCTCGATGCATGTCTGTATACGTGTCTGCTTGATTGAAAACTTTTATCTCTTCTTGTGAAAAATTTCTCTTGAATATTCCCTTGCGGATCAACACTTTCACATTATGTTATGTCGATGAAATACAATGCAAAGAAGGATGAAAAATAACACAAACGAAAGAGAAAAACGAGTTAGTAGAAAAAAAAGGAGAAAAATGAGTTAGTACAAGAAAGATAATCAATAGAGTTAAAAGATGCTATCTACAGATAAATATAAAACCTACCCAATCATAGTATCTACCTAAACATGCTTTCATTAAATAGCAATCCCACCCGAGCATGATTTTTACCCAAATGTTTTTTTTCAAGAAAATAATCCTAACCGCAAGGTATCTAATTAGTATGTTGTTATTCAACAGAATAAATATATTCTACGAATCTTAAAGTAAAAGGTAAGGGTTTAGAAACGTTCCTCCTTTATGTACACCTATTTTGGGTACCTCCTGACGGATAGAGGTTCGATATGACTATATCTAAAGTGATCGCTCTACGGTTCACTACATGCATGGTTTTGGCTATATGAGAAAAGGGTACTCGAATTGTCCTTGATGTCGATGCCCCCTTGGGCTGCCAAACCCTCAATCCTCACCCATTATAGGTTTTGAACAGAACGAGTTCAATTCAAGTGGATTCACTACCTTATACCCATACGAGGAATAAATCCATACGAAGGTATAAGGTATGTATCCCATGGGTTATCTGCTAAAACTCATACGAAGAATAAATTCTTACAAGAGTAAAGCATTCACCCCGACTTATTTGCATTGAAGCTCGAGTCTAGAGCTTATGTCATGTAAATGCACGTGATGTGTGTGAGGAGGTACATACAAACCTTTGACTTAAAAGACGAAAAAATAAAAATAAAAACTCTCAACAAAACTTGGACACAGATGAAAGCAAAAATTAAAATGTTAGTATGAAAATAAAAAATGAAGAAATTAAAAACTTAAATAAATGGATCATAAGTTAACTAAAGACTTCAACTCATAATTTCCACCACAACGACAATGTGTAAGCGACTTACAACCTGACTCTCTAAGAAAAGTCCCCAGCGGAGTCGCCAAGTTGTCATAACTATTTTTGTAAAAAACAATTCAATATTATTTTAAAAAATGATTATGGCTTTATTTGAAAATTTTTGTGATTTTAGATTAATTGGAATTAAATTGAAAAGGAGTCGCCATCGACCTATAGGTTAGGTAGGTCGAATACTTAAATACGTCTTTTAAAATAATTTTAATGAAAAGTCGTCTTGTAACAAAAAAATTGGTATGCGTTACCAAAGATTCATTTAAATGGATTCTGGAGTCAGTTACGCGTGGGGAAATGTTAGCACCCCCACAGCGCCCAAAATTGGTATTGTGTCGCTTACACGTTGTCGTAAATGGTGGAAATTAAGAATCGAATATAAAATTAAAATATGATCCATTTATTGAAATATAATTAATTTGCTTCAAATTAACTATTTAAAGAAAATCCTTTTACACGATAAGAAATCTTAAAATTCGCAATCCTTCATCAGGAAAGCTATTTCAACTATTTTTTATTTGTAAAAGAATATTATGTCCTCATTGATTTTAAAAATACGAATCACATATAAATTGAGAATCAAAATTTTCATAAAATAAACAAATTGATGTTTTGAAACGTACATTGCATCATTTGAATAAGAACACATTAATTAGTAAAAATAAACTCGATTTTACTTCAAGTTCCCATGTCGTTAAAATTTTGTATAAGATCGCACCACTTCGACCAAGTGATATTTTTCACGCTCATTCTACGCATACGTGTTCTTGAAATTATTCGAATACTATATCACTAAATAAGGAAATAAGATGGGACAAAAATAATTGTAAATGAAAAGTAAAATATTCACAACATAAAACTAATGACATTTATTTAACATTACACATAAAAATAAATAATATGTACATTTATAAGGGACAGAAATAAAAACAATTAAATATTACAAACGAAAATAAAATGGGAAAAAAGTAAATATTTGGTAATATTAGGGACCAAAATAACAATTAACAATAACTTAGAGGGTTAAACAATAATTAAAAATAAACCAGAGCCAAAATCACAAATATTAAACAGTACAAGTACTAGAAATGAAATAACCCATAAATCATATTTAGGACTAAAATGCAATAAATCAGAAACATGAAGGCTGAATCATAATTAAACCAAATGCCAACAGTGACTAAAATAAAAGATTTATACATGTCATGGCCAAATTCGAACATCTAGGAAAATATACAAAATTTTAAATTAGTGACTAAAATGAAACATTTATAAATATTGTGAGCAAAATCAAACATAAACAAACATGGTAAAATAAACAGACTAGTGACTTAAATGTAAGTAATGAAATGTAAGTAATGAAATGTAAGTGCTTAAAAGGGAATAATGAAAATTTTCATCAAATGGTTAAACGACGAGATTGCAAAGGAGTAGGGACCTAGGCTATTATTAGCCCACAGAAAAAATAAAAACACGGGTGAGATATACAAAAGTCAGGGACTAAATTTGATATTAACCCTAAAGCGAAAACTCAAAAAATAGGAGGGCAAATTGACGACGTTTTGATCATGCAATATAAACCCCCAACCCAAGCTAAACTCCCCAACTCCCTTCATTTGCTTCTGTTCCAGAAAAAAGAGGGACAGAGAATTCTCATAATTCTCTCAACTTCCCTCGCCGAAGAGAGGGAGGTTGCCGTCGGTGGTCGTAGGGATCAAATGATCCCAAAAGGTTCCTCTCACTCCTCTCTCTTTAAATCTCCATATCTCTAGGCCTAAAAACACCCCTACACGCCAAGATCTACAAAAGGAAACCGAAAGGTTTACCTTACGCCGCCGCTAAGCCCACAGTCCGATGGGGCCACCACTGAGATATGTTGGCCACCTCATTTCCACACACATTCTCAGTTTTCGGATCTATCGTCCGACCATAGGAGCGGCAGTCGTTGAATACCTGAATTTAATCTCTATTTTTTTCCTCTCTCAGTATTTTTTCTCTCTCGCGTCTAAAACCCCTGAATATCTTGATATCTCTCTCTATTTTTCTTTTTTAACTTTCGAAAACTGATCCCCTTTTTGGTTACCTTTGGTTGATTTTAGGGTTGCTTCTTCTCTTGATTTGCACGCCTGATGGATTTGAGTGCTCAGTTGGTAGGGATATGATAACCTAGATTCTAGAATAAGATTTGGGGATTTATTTGGATTTTTTCCTGATTTTTATCTATTTTTCAGTGTTTGATGGGCTTTCGATCACTGTAGGTTATAACATCGGTGTCAGAGGCTGTCAGAGGAGGCTTAAGAGTCAACGATGACGGCTCATGCGTCTCGGGAGTATGATGGTGCATTGCACGTGCAGTTTGGTGGCTGACTCCGATTGGCGATGGTAGTTGGTTATCATTTAGGGTTTTAAACCCTAATCCCTGAAGTGATATAGACAATTGGATGGGTCCAGATCCAAGGGTTCTAAGAGATATGACGACAAACCAAAAGGTCAGAAAACCTTAGATGGGTTTGGGTGCTCCAGCGGGTTTGGATCGGGTCGAACCTTTGACCTTGGGTCTGGATCGGGTCGAACCTTTGACCTTGGGTCCTCTGAATTTCTTCAGTTGGATCAGCTACTGGGCTTTGGGTGGTATCTGGGTCATCAGAGTGGGCTGCTGGATTGGGCTTCTGTGATTGTAGTTGGGTCTTGGGGACTTGGGCTTTGATGTAATCTGGTTTGGGCTTCAAGGCCTGTAAAAATGATGTATTTAAAATAATAATAATAATAATAATAATAATAATAACAATAATAATAATAACAATAATAATAATAATAATAATAATAATAATAATAATAATAATAATAATAATAATAATAATAATAATAATAATACTAATACTAATAATTTTATAGGCACGGACAAAAATGAGTGTCTACAGAAGGGTTGTAATATTTGTGTTATATGTTTATATTCAGATTAACAAACTAGAGGTTGAAAATAATTAGGGTAAATATATATTTTAGTACCTAAAATTCTTTTTAAGGTATAATTTGGTGTCTAAACTTTTTTAATTAAATTGGATACTTGAACTTAACTTTAAGGTTTAATGCTATAGTTGCAGCATAAAAAAAGGAAAAAAATTAAGTGGAAATGGCGTTTGAAAATGGCGTTTAGGGTTTTGAATGTGTTAGAAGCACGAGTTGTTTGAACACTTAATTCATACTGCATGCAGGGGCGGATGAAGGGTTTTCTACAGGGTGATATTGAAATTCAAATTTTTTTATGTTAGTAATTTATTTTATTGAAGGTATCTATCTTGAAATTTTATTTGTCAATTTCATACGAAAAATTTATATTATTAGTATACATGTATTCGCTTTCAAAAATATTTTTAGATCTAACACTGCGTACATCCAATTCTCTTTTCCATAAGATAGAAAATTGGTTTCTGTCGTGTTTAAGATACTATACTTAAATCACATTAGTGAACAATTAGGAAGTGTAAGTCACAATTTAAATAGTTGCAATCGGTTGTAGTAGCGGATCCAAAAATATTTTTTAGGGTAGGCACACATATATATTAATCACATAAAATTTTTATACAGGTGGACACAGATAAAATTTCTGTGTGGACACAATCATTAAAATAAGTAATTATTCAAAGAAAATTCATATTTTAGGGTGGACACGTGCCCACTTTTAATCCTTAATAGATCTGTCACTGATAAGTTGTAAATGAAAATTTTATTAATTTCGTAACTCTTTAGAATATATTGAGTAAAATTTTAGATTAAAATTGAAAATATTACCTTCTATATAATAAAAAAAGGTAAATTGCATAACTATTATAATTGCAACATAAAAAATTACCGTCAATATTTTCGCTTGTAACTTATATTATTACCAATTGTATATGCTTTTAGAGTAGACAAACATAATATTTTAGGATAAAACCTATGTCAATATAACATTTTCAGTTGTAATTAAAATTATTATTAATTATGTAATTTTTAAAGTAAACTTGATAATATTTTTGGTATCAGACAAAACTGAAATAATTAATAATGAAGTCCAATGTTTTCAAATTTTCTTTTGATTTGCTAATTAGTTTGCTTATTTTGAATGGAATGACGTGCAATAAAAGACTCAAACCTAACCATTACAGTGAAGCTACAGTGACTGCACTTCATTTTTCGTTCAATGACCGCTAATTATATTTTATGTTTTGAATTTTATAGCCTCCCTCTGCTAAAAGTTTTGACACGTTCCTCCCTTTTTTTCTTTCTTTCTTCATAAGCAATTTCTCCTGTGTCTAAGGTTCCCAATAGAACAGCTCCATGTCAATTAAACAAGGCAATTTCAAGTTTAAAACTCGAGTCTCAGCATCTGCAGTCCTCTCTTATCCCGAGCTGTGACCTCTATACCAAATGAAATCTGCCCGAATATCGCAAGCTTCGGTTTTATGATAAACTTGGGAAATCATCCAGGTATAACAACGATCATTTTCCGTTCGTAATAGGCGGCAGCTATCGGTCAGATACTCGAAAGGTATGAAACAGATTAAAAAAGGCGTAAGTTGACACAGACTATTTTGTACATTAGCAAGCTATTTGAATACATGGTCCAAAAACATGGGACATTGCCGCTGGTGCTACGGTACAAGGTTGATTTTGTAATTATGTACCAGGGTTTTCTATTATAAATAGAGATGTAACCTAGACCTAAAATATTATTGAATAAAAACTTCTAGCGCCGCCTAGGCACCGAGGACGTAAGCACATTGCCGAACCTCGTAAAATTCTCGTGTTCTTTTGTTTTCTTTACCCGTTTTCGTCAACAATAAATGTACATAAGCATCCAAAATTTTCTATAGTTGGTTGAGTTTGGACTGGACTGCTATCGAGTTATCAATTCTATTGGTAAACTCAAGTATATTCAACAACACAAAACATATCATGAGCTGCTCATTATGCAGACTCTTTATACAAGAAATATAAGCAGTTACAACCATACTAACAGCATAACCAACTCCTAACAGACTCCCAGCAACTAACTGCCACTTACACAGATTACTTGCATGCACACATGCATATACCTCTAATATTCCCCCCTACATCTTCTCCTTTCTCCCTTCATCGTTGCACAACGCATACCTTCTCACGAAACTCTTCAAATGCTTCTTTTGACAAGGGTTTAGTGAACCCATCAGCTACCTGATGTGCAGCTGGAACATAATTGACACAAATATGCCCAGCAGCCACCTTTTCCCTTACAAAGTGCACATCCAATTCTACATGCTTGGATTGTGCATGATATATTGGATTGGCACTCATAGCCACTGCACTAGTGTTGTCACACCAAATTACAGATTTTCCTTGCTGTTGTAAGCCTAGATCGGTTAACAACGTGCTGATCCATGTGACTTCAGCTGCAGCATCAGCCACACTTTTATATTCTGCTTCCATGGTGCTTCTTGACACTGAACGTTGCTTCTTCGAATTCCATGCAACAAGGCACTTGCCTATGAACACTCCATAGCCTGACACTGACCTTCGATCATCCAGATTAGCACCCCAGTCAGCATCTGCAAAGGCTGAGATTACCACTCTGTTGTCAACTGGAGAAAATCGTAACCCGTAGTTTACAGTACCTGCTAGGTACCGAAGAATTCTTTTCACTGCAGCAAGATGTGTTACTCGAGGAGCATGCATAAACTGGGCTACTTTGCCCACACTCAAGGACAAATCAGGCCGAGTATGACAAAGATAAAGGAGTGAGCCCACTATGCTCCTATACTCGCTCGCATCCTCTAACAAATCTCCTTCTTCGCGAGTCAATTTGCAAGCCAATGTCATAGGCGTAGAGCATGCAGCAGCTGTTTTCATGCCAGCTTTCTCCAGTAGTTCTAACGCAAACTTCCTTTGGCTAAGAACAAGTGAGTTGCTCGTCCTTAGTACTTCAATGCCAAGGAAGTAGCTTAACATACCCAAATCCTTGAGGGAAAATCTGTCTTGCAGCATAGCAACAACTGTTTTAATCCCATTGGACGACCCTCCCGTGATCAGTATATCATCTACATACACCAATAAATACACTCGATCACTGCTGCTGCCTTTAAAGAACAAGGATGAGTCTGCCCGTGACACGTTAAATCCTATTTCCAGTAGCGCTTCTTTTAACTTGGAGTGCCAATTGCGAGGTGCCTGCTTCAAACCATACAGGGCCTTCTGCAGTTTGCATACCACGATGGAACCATCATCAGACATCTGCTCAAAGCCAGGTGGTTGATGCATAAATACGTCCTCCTTAAGATCTCCGTTGAGAAAGGCATTGTTTATGTCTATATGCCTCAGCTCCCATGCGTTAGACACAGCCATGGTGAGAATTACATTCACTGTGCTGAATTTAACCACTGGACTGAAGGTATCGCAGAAATCATGCCCAGGAACTTGAGTGAATCCCTTAGCCACTAACCGAGCCTTGTACCGAAGAATTGAGCCATCAGGATTGTGTTTGAGCTTAAACAACCACTTGCATCCAATTGCAGTTCGCCCAGGTGGAAGCTTAACCAGTGTCCATGTTTCATTCTTTTGTAATGCATCGATTTCAGCCTGAACAGCATTCTTCCAATCTGAAGACTGCATTGCTTCCTTTATATTCGTAGGTACTTCATTGTCAAAGTGACTTGAGAATGCCTTTGGTTTAAAAACACCACATTTACTCCTTGTCAACATGGGATGAGCATTCTGCAGCTGATGTGTTTCAGCTTGTTCACTAGATTCCTGCATTGATGTTTGGCTACTGCTACTTGCATCACCATGTTCTTCGAGAGGTTCAGCAGTCTCATTATTCAGTTGTTCCGAGTGCTGCTCAACATGACCACTACTGCTCCCCTGTAAGTCAGTATTGTCTTCCATGTGTAGGCCAGACTCTGTATGTGGATTAGGATTCTCCTCATATGGTGGTGATGAACTCTCCAGAAACTCATTAACACTTTGACTATTGCCATCTTGGTTGTCACCTTGCACATCTTGAAGCAACCTGATATTTGAAACGATTTCAAGTTCCTGGGGGCAGTACATATTTTTATCAGCGTTTGTTGAGAGGCTGCATTTTTCTTTAAAAGGGAATGTCCATTCATCAAACACCACGTGCCTCGATATGTATACACGGCCATCTTGAGCTAGACATTGATACCCTTTATGTTGTGGACTCACACCCAGGTATGTGCATGGCTTGGATCGAAAGTCCAGCTTGTGTCTCTGAAATGACCGAAGATGGGGAAAACATAAACACCCAAAAACTTTAAGCATGTTGTAATCCGGTTGCTTACCATACAACTTCTCAAAGGGAGAAACTCCTTGAAGAACTTTTGTTGGTAGCTTGTTGATGACACTTACGGCAGTAGTCATAGCATATGACCAGAATTTAATGGGCATTGAGGCTTGAGACAACAGCACTAGTGCCAGCTCAACTAGATGTCGATGTCTCCTTTCGACCTTGCCATTTTGCTCAGACGTATGCGGGCATGTTAACCTGTGTACAATTCCATCCTTGGCTAAAATGTCAGTAAACAATCTAAACTCCCCTCCCCAGTCACTTTGGACTGCTTTGATGGACACTCCAAATTGTGTATGTATCATTTTATGAAACAGCTGAAACGCTATAACAGCTTGGGATTTAGTGCGAAGTAGATAAATCCATGTATATCGAGTATAAGCATCAACAAACGATATGTAGTAGCGAAAACCATTTGAAGAAATATGAGGAGGCCCCCACAAATCAGTATGTACAAGTTGAAAAGGAGAGTTGTATTCAGTAATAGATTGCACAAATGGGAGTTTGTGACTTTTGCCTACATGACAGGCAACACAAGTTTTGTTAACATCAACCGAGAGCTTTACATCAAGAACCTTTGCTATTTTGTTAAGAGTGTCAAACGAGGGATGACCTAGACGCCTGTGCCACAACTCAGCTACTGGAAGAGACTTCGAAACTATATTGACATCACCTTTGATTGCTGTACATGCTTTCTCAAAAGAGTATAACCCATCTGCCTCTTTACCACTCAACAAGACTTGCCCAGTTGTTTCATCACGAACATAGCATTTCGTTGCATGGAACTCAAGAAAGACTCTATTATCCCTAGCAAGCTTAGAGACGGAGAGAAGATTTTTGGTTATATGCGGGACATGTAAAAGTTCATTTAGCATTAATACACGTGAAGTAGAAGATAAAGCAGCTTTGCCGATGCTATCAATACCAAGTGCTACTCCATTACCAACAGTTAACTTACCTGGCCCAAGAAATTCAGATTGGCTTATCATATTAGATGCATCCGGAGTAACGTGGTGTGTCGCTCCCGAGTCTACTACCCATCGATCAGCAGCTGCAGTAACCACATTTGCCTGTGGTTGTGTGCTAGGAGAAGCACCATCCACACATCCATTAGAGCAGCGTTCACAGCCTGAACTGGTTTTCCCAGAATTATTCCCAGAATTATAGTGCACACTGGCTGAGCCTTCTTTAGTTGAACCATAACCATCAGTTGCTACACATGTGAACTCCTCATCATATCGATACCAGCACCGATCGACTAAATGTCCAAGCTTACCACAAAGTTGGCATTGTAATCGGGTTCGCCCACGCCCCCTGCCATGGTTTCTCATACCAGATGCATGAGCAGAATGACTTGGCCTGTAGTCTTGGCGGTTAGAACCATTGAAATGTCCTCGACTTGTACTGCCCTGTGCAAGATTCGCACTCACTGGTAGCAAATCAGTTTGTTCATCAAAACCTGCCAGTTGGGATTCTGCATCCATTAGCATTGTATAAATGCTATCTAAAGACAATGTTTCTTTCATAGTTGTTATAATGGCCATGAACGGTTGGTATTCACGAGGTAGCCCTTTCAAGATTGTAACAATGCGTTCAATATGGGAGATAGCACTTCCACACGAGGCAAGCGCATCACACACCTCTTTTACTCGTGTAAGGTAGACACGCATGCTGTCCCCGCCCTTCTTCAACGAGTGAAGCTTGTAATGCAGATTCATTAAGGCTGTAGTCGATCTGTTTGCAAAGAATTGCAGTACCGTTCGCCAAACTGCTGCAGCAGTTTCTGCTCCCACGAACTGAGGAAGGAGGTGAGGGCTGATGGTCGAAAGCAGCCAAGAAGCTACAGCACTATCTTGTGCAATAAACTCTTCATAGCTGTCATTGATACGTTCCACGCCATCATCATCTACGACAGTTTCTGATGGAGGCACCATGGCTCCTGTTAAAAGCCGTTCAAGACGATGACTCCGGATCGTTAACAAAATCTGCTGCTTCCACAACAAGAAGTTGGTCTCATCCAAGACGATGCTAACCTTCTTGTTCGAGAAATTCTTCACACCACCAATTGCAAGATCCATACTCGCAAGAATTCTACTAGCAGCGGAAAGGGGGAAAAAAAAAAAATACTTCAAGAATTACCCAGAACCACCTGCGATTGATACCATATCGAGTTATCAATTCTATTGGTAAACTCAAGTATATTCAACAACACAAAACATATCATGAGCTGCTCATTATGCAGACTCTTTATACAAGAAATATAAGCAGTTACAACCATACTAACAGCATAACCAACTCCTAACAGACTCCCAGCAACTAACTGCCACTTACACAGATTACTTGCATGCACACATGCATATACCTCTAATAACTGCAGATAGAGATAGCATCTATTCGGAATCTAGCTCGATACAGTAAATTGTTGGAAGAAAGTTTGTTAATGAAATAAAAATTCCGTCATTTTGGCATCCGCATTAGGAACTTTAAAGTCCTTTGTCTTTTTCCTCAGTTCATTGAGCTCCATATCAATCTCGGCGTCTTGATACGGAAATGCCTTGTTTGTGCTAGCAGAACCAGTTCTTCCTGGTGGAAGCTCTCCTTTCTGTTGGTCAAAAGAAGAGGCAAAAAGAAAAAAAGAAAAACTTCGAGTTTGAGTTTTGACCGTGGGGAATTTCATTTCCTTCTCAAACCACTAAGACTCCGTAGTTTCCGAAGCCATAACAGGGAAAGTAAAAACCTTATGCAAAAGAAGATTCTGAATGTGAAAGGCCTACATATGTGCAGCAGTACATTGCATTCTCATTACAAACTTTCAGGTTGCAGACAATCCAGAATATGAAACCCAATATTTCTGACTAATAAAATACCAAAATACTAATGATTTATCTTCAAATTACAATAATAATATTACTAATCCCGAATAATATGACCTGTTTTATGCCACAACCACAAAAAAATGGATACCATATCAAATTGGCTGTCCATCTATTTTCAGTTCAGGGACCTTACCGGAAAACCAGTTTTGTATTTCCAATTTTAGGGGAAACTCAACAGAAACATATAAATCGTATGTCCCAATTTCAAAAAGATTCAAGCACATAACTACAGCTAAATTGACATTTCCTATTTACACCGTCAACAAGCCATTATGTCGTTATCGGGCATATGATGCCCACCACCATCAATCACGAATATTATTGCATACCAACAAGAGAAATTTGACTATAGAAAGTTTAAGTGAGATTTAAAGAATGCAAATAAAGATAGAGCAGTCACTACCTTTCCTTCAATATCATCGGTGGTTAACTGCCCAAGAGCTTCTGCTTCAGACTCCATAGCCATAACCGGCCCAGGAAAAAAAGAAAAAGAAGATATGGTCAGTATGTAGTGATCAAGAACTGCATTTGGCAATGAGGGATTTCAAATCATCAGGTGCATGATTAGGATGATATCTAACAATGTATTTGAATCTTCAGTTCTTTTTTAATCACCTATGATTCATGAATATCCAAACATGAAAATGGGAATATCATCCTCCAAAGGCTTTGTATATACAGGAAATAATTAAGGGGAAAAAAAAGATACCCATGTCCACTACACACCCAATTCCAAGTGACATAGATTGTAGTTCTAAATAATATATGATTACTAATAGCATGACTTTTACGCAAAGGATTATTAATAAATGGTATCCTTTATATTTCTCTGAGCAATAGGTAGTTTTGAGATATTAATAAATGATATAAAACACCCTTCAACACTCAACTTGACACCAATCACGAACTTCATGTCTAGTAACCTACTGAAAATATAAAGGATATCACACAAGTCAGAAATTGTCAAGAACCTGAATTGGAATCTCCTGCCTCAGAAATTAACATAGGTATAGAATCTTCTTCTAGTGGACTTGTTCCATTTGTTAATAGCTCAAAATTGCCTATTGCTCAGAGAACATCACTAGACAATATCTAGGGCATGTACATACAATTCAAACAATAACAACAATATTTGAGGACATCACTAGACAATATAGTTGACATAAAGTGCATAGGAAGAGACCAAATCCCATTAAATCTTACCTCTTTTTTTGTAGCTCCCTATCCGTCTTAGTGTTCAACATCAAGCTGGCCGTCGTATTATACATTCCTCATGCTCTGATCTTCCATTCAATGGAACCAAGCTCTCAACATAAGCAGTAGTGTGCATTGTTTCCTTATAAGCATAAATACCAAGATTTGTAAGCTCTTGTATGGAGGGATCAAATAAAACTAGTTCTTGATCCGAGCTCTCGAGAAACAACTCACCATTTTTCCAAAACCCCAAAGGCCTCTCAACTCCAAGAACATATTCAACACTTAATTGTTTAGTCCATGACTCATTCATAACCCATAAATCAAAAGACTTGTCAGTTCCTTCAATTGGGTAAAAAATAGCACAAAGCAATCCATTGAAGTCCAAAAGTTCCAAATAATATTGTTCTAAACTCCCACCAAATTCAGGCAGTGGTGAAGTTGAAAACTTTTTATTAACCATATAAAACGAAAGAATAAGGTGATCACTTCAAACTGTCTACCAATAAATAAACCCATTGACATAATTATTAAACAAAGTACAAGCAAAAGCATCAACCCCAGGAAATGAAATTTCCTTCCACGAATCTCTTTTAAGCGAATATAACTAAACTTGATCAATCGAATGACTATAAATGCTCATGCCTTCTTCATTTTCCCATGTAAAACAATTAGAAACAAATATTACAACTTTGAAGTCATCAGTTTGAGAATCATAATCAAAACCAAGGCGATCAAAACTATTGTATTCTAATCCAGGAGGGTGTTGGACTCTGGATTGAGGAAGGATTTTAAACTCTCTGGTAGTTGTGTTCCAAAGGGCAACATTATGTCCAACTATTGGCTCTGCTAAACACAATATTCCATTACAAGGACCATGAAATAAAGGTGCATGCACAATATTCTTGAAAAAGGGTAAGTGAATATTGTGTTTTACTCTAAATTTTGGTCTTTCTCGGTCCAAAGTTGATGGAAATAATGGATGTCATCACGGGTGTCACCATGACATCGTTTGAGGAGGAGATTAAGGTTATTGTTTTTGAGATTGTTCTGATGATGTTTGGTAATGAAATGAGGGGTTTCAAAAGATGAAGACCAGGGCTTACAAACGCACCGTCTTCATATGTTGATTGTTTGTTAACTAACAATTTTCATCCATATATGAACTCTTTTTCCCCAAATAAAATGTTAGAGGTTAAAGTGCTTGTATATATATATATATAGGGTCCAATTACACAGTGTAATATTTTTTATTTTTTCACAAATTTAGTACTGGTAAATGAGTGAAAATAGAAGAATGAGTTTAAATAGGAAATGAGAAGATATTCAATGAAAAAAATAAAGAATTAATCTCATTCAACTATCTCTACTCATCAAATAGTCCTAAATCTATATATAACTAAAAATATTTTACACTATATAAATGGAGATATATATATATATATATTCCTTCAAACCCTAAATTTTGATTTCAAGATTAATCAGGTTGTAGAAGGATAGCTAAATTATCACAAATTCAATAATCCAAAACCTCTAGTCTCATGTTTTGTTGTTGTTGCTAAATCCCTTCAATTTAATATTTAAATCAATAACAATAATAGTCAACAATTTGAGTTTAAGATTCATATTACATGCAGCAATCATGCATATTTGAGCAAGTTAAAATTTTATTTTATTAGAATTAAATAAGTCTGTAAATGAAATAAATGAACACGAATAAAAATATGTTCATGTTTGTTCGTTTAACTTTAACTGAACATGAACAACTAAATAAATATATTTTTATTATATCTCATATTCAAATTTGATCTAACCTATTAACATTTGTGAATAATAAAATTTTATTAAATCTATAAATGCATTTAAGAATTTTATTATTGTTACTTATTCTATTAATTTTGTTCATGAAATTTAAGGGAGACATCATAATATCTATAAGACAAAAGCCCATAATTGCATCATTTTCCTCTTTCCAAACCTTCTATGGTCAAGTTGATCCACGTGAATTGCTGTCACCAAAATCCATGTGTTTTTATATATGTTTTGCTAATGTTCAAGTTGATGACTAGGTTTATCGAAGGACTTAATTGAAAAAATAACCTCAAAGAATAGGAAGTAAAAGAAAAATAATATTGATAATGACATATACTTTCTTATGTTAATTTAATCCCCGAAATTAGGAGACCTACTTTTATAAAGTATTTTCTAAAAATAGTCAAGACTTTTATAATAAATTTATTGTATGAAAATAGACAATAATTAAATAACTTTTTGAATAAAATATTGTTTTGATTAAATAACATATTTAATTTAGACTGTATAAAATAAAAGTAATTTTTATTACTTTAATAATTATATAAAAATAACATAAATCAGGAACTCTAGATTATAAAGGTAAAATAATTATACCTATACAAATTATAGATGTCAACCAAATTTCGAAAACCATTTTCAATTCAAAAGTGATTAAAATTTATTTTCTTTAAAATGATAATTGATATAATAAAAATATCATTCCATATAATTTATATTTCATTATAAAAAATTTCATTCAAAATATTTTTTTATGAATAGTACCATTCTTAGTGAATTTGATGGAATTACCAATTAATGAATTAAGATCATTGCTTAAAGTGATATTGATAATGATTATGAAGAGAATGATGTCAATATATATTAATATATAGCTTTTTTAGTTAATGTGATAGATACTCAATTAATTAAAGTATTGAACATGTTTCTATTATTTATTATGAAATGATCTTGAAGATAGAATTATTGGAGCTTGTTGGTCACCATCAAAGATTAGTAATAAACTTTTCGATGTTAGCCTCGTTGCTAATTAAGTTTTTAAAGAAAGATAGTCCTTTAAAGATACTACATACAATAACTATGCATTTAGTTGAAAACAAGAGGCATTACGAGTTAATCAATTTGGGTTGGTGACCTGGTTTGAATAGAGACAACACGAAAATAGAAATTTTATTAGAAGTGGATATGTAACACCCGTAATCTGTATAATTATACCTATACAAATTATAGATGTCAACCAAATTTCGAAAACCATTTTCAATTCAAAAGTGATTAAAATTTATTTTCTTTAAAATGATAATTGATATAATAAAAATATCATTCCATATAATTTATATTTCATTATAAAAAATTTCATTCAAAATATTTTTTTATGAATAGTACCATGAATAGTGAACAGTGGGGGAATCGGTTCCTATTGGGGGGAATCAGTTCCCCTTAAGCAATCTGGAAATTCTAATAGGTTTGCAGGAAATTCTACTCCTTGTATCTTTATCGGAAATTTATTACTAATCCGAAAAATTTTTGTACTATGGCCCAATGGATTGATTGCCCCAACATCACTAGAAATAGGTTCTAAAAAGATTCCCCTATCTCTTATCAGTTTTGTACTAATATATGAGTATGTAGAACCGGGATCAATCAATACGAAAATAGGTTCATCAAAGAGATAAAATGTACCTGCTATAATTTCAAGAGCATCTCTATCATCATCAGTCTTGATGTGATAAACTCTTGCAGTAGTTCTGCCTTCACAATTAGATGCAGTCTCAGATGTACCAGGTTTACCCATTTTGCCACCTTTACCCCTCTGAGGTCCCGATACTGTCTGATCTAGATTTAACTCTGGACAATGCATTTTGTAATGACCCGCTTGCCCACAGTTATAACATTTTCCTTCAGTAAACCAAAATTGACCAGAATGTCTCATTTCACAAAACTTACACTCTGCAGTAGGAAGAAATCCCCAACCTTGAGTACCCACCGAAGTTATCTGTGTCTGTTTAGACATTCCTCTAGAAAATCCTTTTCTACCCGGGGATACTGGGGAAGCATAACTTTTCTGTTGCTGGCCCTTGTTGCGTTTGAAAAATGGTGCAAAGTAAGAGCTTCCAAACCTTTTGTTTGTTTGAGCCCTCTTCGCCTCTATATCTTCAAGGTCAACTTTTTCCATAGTTTTAACCTTGTTTACTGCTTCTTGAAAAGTAGTAAAATGATGAGAAACCAGAATTCTCTTATACTAAACATCCAATCCAGAAACAAATCTATCAATTCTCAGTCGGAATAAGCTCCGAAGCAAATCGACTCAGCTTGTGAAATTCACGTTCGTACTCATAAACTGTTTTACCAGATTGCTTTAAGTTTAGGAGCTGTTGCATCATCTCATTGACAAACACGTCCCCAATATACTTTTCCTTGAATTCACTCAAAAAGAATTCCCATGTGATCTGCTCAGTGAAAACTCGTGCATCGACTATATTCCACAACACACTGTCTTGCTTCATTAGTAGAGACACAACCCTTTCCAATTTTCCTTGATCATCACAATGAATCATGTTGAGCATATTCTTGACATCATTCAACCAGAAGTTAGCAGCCATCGGACTAGCATCAGAATCACCTCGAAATTCAGGTGCTCTCATCTTCCTCAGTTCTTTCGGAACTGACACTAGGGTTCGACGGTTAATAATGGTGTCTAAGGCTTGTAAAAAACCCCCCGATCTTGAACAGGCATATCATGTTGATTCATATTAGACAACTCTATATTTGGCTGAGCATTGGGTGGATTCTGATTCACCTCATTACTCCCACTCTGAACAGGAGTAACATGCTCGCCTGCCCTACTCGATTCTTGATGATCTGACATCTAAACACAATCATAATCATCATACTTCAGTAAAGAGTAACTATACTACTAATAAGAATCATCACAATATATATACAAATATCAGTAACTTTTGACATCCTAGTGGCATGTATACACCTTTTCACTCAAAACAAACTCGGTTTAGTCCTAGAATTGGCTAAACCTGTAGCTCTGATGCCAATAAATGTAACACCCGTAATCCGTATAATTATACCTATACAGATTATAGATGTCAACCGAATTTCGAAAACCATTTTCAATTCAAATGTCATTAAAATTTATTTTCTTTAAAATGGTAATTGATATAATAAAAATATCATTTCATATAATTTATATTTCATTATAACAAATTTAATTCAAAAGATTTTTATGAATAGTACCGTGAATAGTGAACAGTGTGCATTTTACAGTGAATAGTGAACAGTGGGGGAATCGGTTCCTATTTAGGGAATCAGTTCCCCTTAAGTAATCTAGAAATTCTCTTAAAGCGTGGTTACTGTTCATTGCTACAGTAATTTTCGAAAATACATATAAATTGCATTTTGTTTCCAAATTTGTTCAACAAACAAATAAAACATTTATAATTACATACCACTAATAAAATTAACATTACAACTTAGGATGTCTTACTGATATTAATATACAATCATCAATGCTTGATATCAGCATGAACTCTTTATTCCATTACTGGTTTTTTACCTACGTGTGAAAATCATCATACGCTA